GGAGGAGGGGGGGGGAGGAGGGGGAATCAGCTTAATTTAAGTTTTCCTGTGTCCCCGTAAATATATTTTTCATTCAGAGGGAACGTTCAGAGGGAACAAATAAATGAGAGGGCGGGGATAGGGGGTGGAATTACGCTCTCGCGCAAGAGAAAGGGAATATAATTTGATATTTTCTCCTTTACGTTGTACACCCCCTGGTCTAGCGGAGCTTATTCATGCGCCGGGTCCTCCGCTCGTTACATTCGCGACGTAAAGAAGCGGCGAGAGTCAAGTTGCGCGCGCGGACCTGTCCGCGGAATCCAGGCCAGGCGTTTCCTCGAGAAAACTCGTTGGCTTGAGTGTCAGTGATGTAGCTCCGGAGTTTGCATTAAATTAGTTTCGTCAACTTACTTTTAGGCACACAAATGAAAGCGTTGTGTTAAGATTCGCGGAGCGCCAAATAGCGCGGTCCTCGGATGCCGTCCGGTTAAAACGGAACCAACTTTGCACCGAAACAGCGGCATGCGGCACGTTTTCAAAATCATTTGAAACGATTCATTATCGGAGAGATAAACAATCGTTTCCATCGTTTTTCATTAGCAAATTTATAAAGTTACTTACGAAATTGAAAAAAAAAAAAAATACAACCAGACGTATATATGCGCGTCATTTGAAAGTTGGATTTCTCTATTCGCAATTTTCTAACGCGTTACTTTTTACTCGATGCAAAATGCGAATTGGAATAAACATCGATGACGGGCAAAGGAAGCGACGAGTTTTTCAGGAAATGTCTGGCGGTAATAATTTACCAGTTTCCGTCACGAGAGGTAGGTAGGTTTACTCAGAATCATATAAGGACTTAACTTGCGATGCAACCGCGCTGCCGCGCGTATTTTGCTCACGTTCCGACAAGATGCGTCACGGGGGGGGGGGAGGTAGATGGGGGTTGGCCGGGCTGGCGCACGTCCGGGGGTGGGACGTAATATTCTTAAGACGCATCTAAAGGATCTCGGCGCCTGGCATTAACAGGACGCGAAGCGACGCCGAGAACTTTTTGATACGGTGACGTTCGTTTATAAGATGATGGTAACAATTTACCAACTCGCGTATTACTTTCCTCTTTTCCGCGCGAACTTCCGCCGACGTATGTTTACAACGGACGAGGCGTGTGCCTCGTCGTCGAAATTCCAAATTATCGTCCGTCGGTGGGCCAACGGAACGGAAACAAGATAAGGGAATATTTCAATCTCGCGCTGTTAATCGTTGAGAAACTACGAAGTTTCGCGACGGTTAAATGATGTACGGTTCTCCATTCTGCGCGCAGCAGTTTATTTAACATGTGTTCCTTCGATGGAATTAGCCGACTTACGTGTTATCTCCCATCTCCATCCGTTATTAATCAAGATTCATTTCGCAAGATTCAAGAGAGACGTTTATCCACTCTACCTTCTGCAAAGTGCAATCTCTATAATCCGGATTAATTAATGCGGAGGCGTACCGTGGATTACCGAGGAGTAACTGACCCTAAGTGAACGATCACATCTTCACGGAGTTAATAATATTTAGGATATAAGCCGGCCATTCGTTCGCAAATCGTTCGCGGTGACTTTTGTAGAGATAGCAAATTATTTATTTATTTGAAAAATTGTAGTAAAATCGTTTGAATAATCGTACTTTACATAGCTCTAGCTAAAATTCTGGGAAATATGATAATTAATTTCAAGAACATTCGTATCGCGTTGTTGGACGGTGGTCGTAGCCCGGGTAATTACACGAATTAATAATTACTATTTCTACTTGCCAGAGAGAGAGGGGACCGTGATTATCACGTGCGCTCGAATGAGAATCATCGTTAGTAGGGCTTATAGGCGTAATACGTCGTTAACATGCATCCGCGCAAATTAATTACCTTTGACGATAATGCGTAATACACAGCTGGCCTGCTTCTTCGATACCGGGTGTCGCGCGTAAAATGTAATCTCGTGCACGCCGGGCTCCAGATTGGCTTCGAGCCGCGTACCCCAGGACGGCTTCGATCGCACGTATCGGAACCAATCGAGATCTGTTGCCGGTTGATCGAAGGTCACGAACGCCTCGTCCCTACCCGGTGGTAATTCGGCTACGACATCCTTCGGACACTCCAATCGGGGCTTGCTGTATCCTGCCGAGAGAAAAAGAATGCGATACCGCTGGCTATCCCGCCCCAATTCTTCAGGCGACACCGCGAGGAAAAAATATCTTTCTCTCTTTTTTAATAAAAAAGGAAGGATGAAGAAGATATATCTTTCGGTATAGATAATTTCCTGGAAATTCTAGATGAGCAATATCATTAGGATAATGTTTTTTATATTATAGAGTCGTCGAGTTGATAAAAAAAATCTTAAAACCCTCAATATATATGTATCTTGCAGGAAAAATTTTCAGATCTTAATTTGAAAAAAATCTCGTATTTGTCT